TAGGGATGCAGTTTCGGAGCCTGTGGTGGGGATTTATAAGTGAATCATGGCACACACCTTTAGGGTTTTGGAGCAGTGCCTACCATCATCCAAAGACAACTACTTGCCTTTTGAGAGAGAGTGTTTGATCTGCTACTAGGATTTAATAGATGACACTGAATGTTTGACCATGGTCCACCCACAGGACCGATGCTGCTCATTATGAACTGTTACTGACCCACCAAGCCACAAGGGTGAGCACTCATGGCAATACTGTATCATCGAATAGAAGTTATATATATGGGATAGTGCCCATGCAGACACTGAAGGCACAAGTAACTCACATGAAGTGGCCTAAATGCTTATGATCCCCACTCCTACTCTATGCTGTCTTGCTTCTACCTGTACCTGTGGTCTTACAAATAGTTCCTTATTCAGTAATGGAGGGCCTGGTTTAGACGGTTCTGCACAATATACAGTCACCACCCATATGTGGACAACTGTAGCACTATTGCCCTTCTCTGGGGCATCCCTAAAAGGCCAGTTATGAAGGGAAACCTTCCCAGAGGGAAAAACTTGGGTAGTGTGCAGTTTGCTTAGGAGAAAGGGGCAGATCTGTGGTGATACAGTGATCCATGGATTGTAGCCAGTGGTCTGGCTGGATTGTAGTAACTTGAAAACGTGATTAGAAAGTTATGTGGATGGATGACTTTGAATGGGTACAAAAGGTCAAGATATTTGTGTATCGTATGAATGCTTACCAAGGGGTGACCTCAGCAGAGAAGAACTTTTGGTAATCATGTGGCTGGGGTGGATGACCTGTTCTGTAGCTATCAGATAGCCTCTTTCCCTAGCTATCCCATCACTGCCTACTGGGCTCATCAACAAAGTGGCCATGGTGGCAGGAACGGACAGAGGTTACACACGGGCTTGGCAATGTGGACTTCTGTACAAGGCTTACCTGGCTATGGCCCTGATGACTGCTCAGTCTGCCAGCAGCAGAGACCAGCCCGGAGCCGCCATATTTTGCCCTTACTTGGGATGATTAACCAACGACCTGGTGACAGTTACATGGGGACTACTTCCATAATGGAAAGGACAACATTTTGTCCTTAGTAGAATAGGTACTTTCTCTGGAAACAGATTTGCCTTCCTTGCAGACAGTGTTTCTTCCTTGCATGCCTGGCCTTAAGAGAATACCTCATGTGCTGTCACAGTATCTCATACCCAGTTGCTTCTAGCCTGAACTTTACTTCAGAGCCAATGAAGTACAAGCCTAGGCTCATGTTCATAGAATTCTCCAGTCTTACCTTGTTCCCCACAATTCTAAAGCAGCTGGCCTGAAAGAATGGTAGAATGGACTTTTGAAGCTTTTGTTATAGCACCTGCTAGGTGTTAGTGCCTTGCTGGGCTGAGGCAAAGTTCTCCAGAAGATCATAGGTGCTTTCAGTTAGTGTGCAGTGCCTGGTGCTGTTTCTCCATAGCTAAGTTTCATGATTCCAGGAATCAAGAGTGAAAATGGGAAACACATATTCTCAGTTATGTAATGGCATCTGCCCACCCTCCAACTCTCATCCAGTAATAACTGGGAAGGAAAGGGCACATGGATAAAGTTGGTCTTCTTGCCTGCATTAGTAGCATTATATTGAACATAATTTATTCCTGATCCAGAGTATGATTCCAGGAATCAAGAGTGAAAATGGGAAACACATATTCTCAGTTATGTAATGGCATCTGCCCACCCTCCAACTCTCATCCAGTAAACACTGGGAAGGAAAGGGCACATGGATAAAGTTGGTCTTCTTGCCTGCATTAGTAGCATTATATTGAACATAATTTATTCCTGATCCAGAGTAGTTCTTTCACTTAAGCAAGTTGGTCTATAGCTTAAAAAAAAAAAAAAAAAAGAAAAGAAAAGATGAATTTGAATTTGTAGAGGTGTGCACAGACCTTCAGTAATAGAATGACTATTAAGTTCTTATTGTGTGCCAGGCAGTGAATGGATTGTTTATCCCTTTTTGGTTCACTTTCACTGTTCACCGCTCAAGGTTGTCTTCTCTGTTTTGAAGCATCTGTAATAATGGCATAATGGGTAGGAGGCGCTACACACTGTCTAGCTTTAAGTACTAGCCCTAGTTCTTAAAAGGTAGGTGACACTGGCAAAGTTACTAATTTCCTCTAAGGCTTATTTTTTTCATTTGCAAATGCCTATCACAGAATTTCCTGAAAGTTGTAGTGAGGATTAATGAGATACTCCACACAAATCACATAGTAAAGTATCTGATACTTTAATCCTCAAAATGTTTTGCCTTAGGATATTATTTTCCCATTTGCACTTGGTAAATTAGGAAAACTGAAGAACATAGGACAAACTAGACAGCCAAACATTAAATTACTAACCTTCACTTTTATATGGGGCTCGGGTCCGCTGTTCGTTACTGTGACAGAATACCTGAGAAAAACAGTTAGAGGAGAAAACATTTATTCACTTTACAGTTTCAGAGGTTCCAATCCGTAGTCAGCTTTCTCTGTTGCTCCTAGGCCATTTTCAGAGGCAGAAACATCATGGTAGAAATGCATGGCTAAGGAATGCTGCTAATCTCCTGGCATCTGGGAAGCTGAGCGAGAGAAAACCACTTTTAAGGTTTCTTCTGTCTCAGCCAGCAGCCTGCTGAATGTTGCTGTCCACATCAGGAGAGGCCCACCCCACAGTTTACTGTCCATCTGCCAGTCACGTCTGGAAACACCTTCATAGACAAATCCCAAATTATGCTGTACTCATTTCTTAGTGGTTTTTCCATCCAGTCAAGATTAGCCATCGCAGAGCCAAAGTCTCTAAGTTAGGGAGGTTTTGGAAGAACTGTTGAGAGATTTGTACAGAGATAGAACAGATAAGGTAAAGGGTGATAAATGCTGTGTAAGTAGTTAATTTATAGGACCAAGAGAGTAGTTGTTTTGTGGTACAAAAGGCTTCATGGAAGAGATGTGTACTTAAAGATGAAGGGGTTTCAACACAAATAATATAAGAATGTCTCAGCCCCTCTGCTAAGCACTGTACCAAAATGTGAAAGCAGCCTTCTATTAATCATGAACCTTCAAGAACTCTCCTTAGACGTCTTGAATTAGCATTGTTTGTGGATATTGACTGAGAAGCTACAGAATATGACCCTCTCTTTTAGGCGTGACCTTCAATCTTTCTTTTGTGGGGTGGCAGAGTCTTATTCTGTAGATCAGAACATATCCCTGCACTTACTATGTAGTCCAGACTGGCCTCAAACTCATGGCAATCCTCCTGCCTCAGCCTTGCAAGTGCTGGAATTACAGGCATGCACCCACCATACCCAGCTGCCTTCAGTCTTAATGACAAGTAGAAAATTAAATGACTACCCTGAGGTTCAAGTTTTAAGTGCTAACATTTGTTCACTTAAAAATCAACAGGCATCCCACATTCTGATGACAGTCACAGAGACTGAAATGGTTGTAGAAACCACCAGTCTAAATAATGAATCACTTCATGATATTTCTAGTCAGTGTGGACTCTTCCTAAAGAGAAGATAACCGCTTTCCAAGCAGGCTTAGCAAGCCCTCTTGGACCTCTTACCAGTTTGTAGAACTCACTGATGCAACTTCCTCACTGCAGGCCGTCCATCATATCCTTGAAGGGGAAGCTCTCATCTTGCTCTTCTTCAGGCTCGATAACTTATTTCTGGTATCTTTCTTTAGGGGACATATAAATCAGAACTTCTTAAGTCAGTTCTTCTGTTAACACCCTTTATCTACATGCATATTTACTCCTTTAAAAGATACTAATACATGAATTCAGTATTATTTCTCCAATTAGAAAACACACCTCCCTTGTATTACAGATTTATTTAATATGACTGGACTATGAAAATACAGCACATGTAGTGGGATCCTATAAGTTTTAAATTTTTTATTAACATGTTTTAACTATCCTTAAAGTATTTATATTTTATAGACTTAACCAGATACTGTCTTTTGAAAAAGGAATATTGTTGCTTATCTAGAAACAATACGTAATTCTCTAGGCACCCCTGTTCCTATGTGTTGGGAGCAAAAATTTAGATGTGCCAGTTTTTATTTGTATAATTCTAAAGAAGTCATAGAATCTCCCAGTAGAGATAGGTCCTGTGCTTCTCCTGTCCTCCTGAGCTCCTTTACAGCAGTGAGTGATATTGGATACTTCTTCCAAATATATGTTCTGTGAATTCGTCAAAAGACCAAGTGTGTGTGCTTTTGTCTTTCCAAAGACTTAAAGCGGGTAGGAAAGCATGAGTCAGGTTTTTTTAATTGCTACCTTCTAAATCTGGGTCTGTGATTGATAGGACTAGGATAAGGCAGAATGGTACACTCTGTACCTGCAGGCGTGTAGACACCTGGTAGAGCATCTCTATGCAAAGCCATGGGCAAGCAGGTGGGAAGAGTAATTTACATGTATATGATGTGCCAGGATACTTGGGTGAGAAAATGGAAATAAATGAATAAAACCTACTTTCAGTACTAGCTAGTGGAAGAAAATAAAAGCAGCATAAACAAACTGGATATTGTTCATGTGTTTCATACTCTTGCACCTATTGAGTACAGATAATTCTGCATCCCATGATCCTCACGTTACATAAATTGCAGGATAGGTAATCCATGGTTATCAGGGCAGAAGACCTTTACTTCTGCAGGTGTTATAGATGTTAGTAATGCCATAGTTTGCTGAGTTTATGGCCTATCTCGAGAGAGTAAAGGCAAAGTGGTTTGTCTTGCACTCGGAGAGTGACGTGGCCTGCTTTGTGTCAGTAGCATTGGAATTCACTCCTAAGATTCCAGTATTCTTTCTGCTTTTACATTATCTGGTACATTTTGTCCTGCATATTGTTCTATAATGGTAAAAGGCATTAGAGAAGGTTAAGGGAAATTTCATCCCAAACTCAAAGTATCATACAACTTAAAGAATAAAATGTACTTCTAATTGAGCAGATCTAGTAATCTTCCATGCCTTTTTCTTTCAGACTCTGAACTTGCCTTGATGTACAACGACTCCTCTGTCTTAGAGAACCATCATTTGGCTGTGGGCTTTAAATTGCTTCAAGAAGAAAACTGTGATATTTTCCAGAATTTGACCAAAAAGCAAAGACAGTCTTTAAGGAAAATGGTCATTGACATTGTAAGTAACTAATGAAAGCCAAAAGAGAAAAAAAATTACTGTGGTGTAAGAGGAAAAAAATTACTATGGTGTAAGTTGCTTTAAGAAAATGTAAAAGTTGGGTGTGGCAATGCACACCTGTAATCCCAGCACCCAGGAGGCTAAGGCAGAAGGATCGCCTGTAATTTGAGGCCTGGTTGGGCTACACAGTGAGTTCAAGGCTACCCTGGACTACTTAGTGAGACTCTGTCTCAATATAAAGGAAGTACATTTCCAAACCTATTATTGGCCTTTCCGTTCTAGAAGCTGCCGCTGTACTGTGAAAATTAGGCATTTCTAATTCTAATGTTAGGTTTTCCACTTCTAGCAGTTTAGATAGAAATATGATAGTTCACTCTCATTATTCAAGTTTTACTCTCTGAGAGGTAGAGAATGATGTGCAAAAAGCACAGGACATGGACTGCAGCTCAGATGAGTTTTTCTCATCCAATTAGACATATTCAAAATTTTATTCTTTTCTCTGCATATTATTCAGTGTGATTCTGAGACAGATTTTTGGTTATTAAAAAATTATTCTCTTTAGCTGTATATATAATATAGGCAATAATGATCTACTCACAGACAAGTAAAAAATTAACTAAAACTGTTTCTGTGGTTTGTGAACACTTCATCATAGTCTGTCACTTTGTACTCCAAAAATGTATTAAACCTCCATTTAGCTGCACAGATATTGGCCCTTTTTTCAGCATGAAAGTGGTCAATGCCTGATGTTCCTATGTGTTGAGCCTGTGAAAACTTGGTCGGAAAAAGACTTCCACAGGGAGAGTAATTTCCGTACATTGTCATTGAAAGTCAATAGTTTCTTACTTTCTGCAAAAAAAAAAAAGTTCATGTGCAAATTCTGACTTGTTCCTCTAGACTTTACTTAATAACATATTCTTTGCCTTTTAAGGTACTTGCAACAGATATGTCAAAACACATGAATCTGCTAGCTGATTTGAAAACTATGGTTGAAACTAAGAAAGTGACAAGCTCTGGGGTTCTCCTTCTTGATAATTACTCTGATAGGATCCAGGTAAATCATTACCATATTCTTGTCCTGCATGTCTGTGTGTTCAGCTTTAATGAGAGGTGTCTTTCCTTTCTCCCGTGTTATACTTTTAGTAACTAACTACAGTCAGGATTTTTACCCACATTCTTATTCTTATGAATTAACAAGGTAAAATGTTACTGGTCTTTTCATATGTATTTTTAAAAACTTAACACCCCAGAAAACCAGCCCCTTAAGCAGCTCTGAATTTAGTCAACCATGCACATAAGCAATTTCTCTGATGATACTTAGATGCAGTAGAAGTGGCATAATTTGGAACTATTAATACAAGTGTGAAGCACACACAGACACATCATGGTTGAGCTATTTGGAATAAATCTTACACTACATGTATTTATAAGTGTCACAGTCATCCATTGTGAATTTCTAGCTTAAAAAAAAAAAGAGCAAGTGCAGAATAGAGAATGCCTCCATCTATTTTAGGTTCTCCAGAATATGGTGCACTGTGCAGATCTGAGCAACCCCACAAAGCCTCTTCAACTGTACCGCCAGTGGACAGACCGGATAATGGAAGAGTTCTTCCGCCAAGGAGACCGAGAGAGGGAGCGAGGCATGGAGATAAGTCCCATGTGTGACAAGCACAATGCATCTGTGGAAAAATCACAGGTAATACATGACTTGTCTCGTGCAGCTTTTGAAGGGAACAAAGCTACAGCTGTAGCATTTACAGTACTCACATCTAACAGTATTCTGCTAGCAAAATTACTTCGCTTTGACAAACTCAGTTTCACCTTAGTGTTTAGAATCCAAAAATCACCTTCAATCTTATGACTTAAACTCATACATTCCTGTGGCATTATATTCATGACTATATTCATATGGTACAGAGTAATTACCTTCAGTTGTCTGGATTCACCAGGACCATAAGGTCCAGGATCCACACCCTAACACGTAAATGAGAGAAGAACATTTTATACATAAATATACTTTTGAAAGGAGGGTTCTAGAGGCTAAATTTTCCTAGCTGTTGCCTCAAGTAGTAATTATTTTACCCAACTAAGGTTAGAAGCTCTCGGTTCAGTATTCTATTTGTGGGCTGTGATCTTATTACCCTTTCCCATTGTCAGTCCTATTGCAATAGTCATACTGGATTTCTCTTTTAACTAGGTGGGCTTCATAGACTATATTGTTCATCCTCTCTGGGAGACATGGGCAGACCTTGTACATCCTGATGCCCAAGACATTTTGGACACTTTGGAGGACAATCGTGAATGGTACCAAAGCACAATTCCTCAGAGCCCCTCTCCTGCGCCTGATGACCAAGAGGAGGGTCAGCAGGGTCAGACTGAGAAATTCCAGTTTGAACTAACTTTAGAGGAAGATGGAGAGTCAGACACCGAAAAGGACAGTGGAAGTCAAGTGGAGGAAGACACTAGCTGCAGTGACTCCAAGACTCTGTGCACTCAAGACTCGGAGTCTACTGAAATTCCCCTTGATGAACAGGTGGAAGAGGAGGCCGTAGGGGAAGAGGAAAGCCAGCCTGAAGTTTGTGTCATAGACAGTTGTTCTCCTGACACGTAACAGTGCAGAATGTCACGCCTTTGTTTTTGTAGTAGAAAAATCGTTTCCAAAGTGCATGTCACATGCCACAACCATGGTCACACCTCATTATCATCTGCCAGGACGTTTGAACAAAACTGATCTTGACTACTCAGTCTGGCGCTCAGGAATATTGTATCCACTTTCTTCACCTCCATGTCATCAGAGCAAGGGGGACACCTTCACAAACAGCATTTGAACATTTCAGCTTGGTAGAGCTGACAAAGCAGATAAAATCAACTCCAAAATGCTTTCAAGGGAGCGTGGCTCATCGGGAAGTCATAAGTGGATTGAATTTCAGAGTTTCTTGATTGCAATATTTCCTGGAGAAAGAAGGCATTATATATGGAAAGAGTGAACTTAGTGGAGTAAAGCAGCAAACATGTCAGGAACAGAGTACAGCATGAATCTGTTCCGAGAAGGAAGAAGAGCCACAGAAATTGCATAATTTTCTAATTTCAAGTCTTCCTGATACATGACTGAATAGTGTAGTTCAGTGAGCTGCACTCACCTCTACATTTTGTATGATATGTAAAAGATTTTTTGTAGAGCTTACTTTTATTATTAAATGTATTGAGGTATTATATTTAAAAAACTATGTTCAGAATTTCATCTGCCACTGGTTATTTTTTTCTAAGGAGTAACTTGCAAGATTTCAGTACAAATCTGTGCTACACTGGATAAATCTAATTTACAAATTTTACTTGCACCGTATAGTCCATAGCAATTAACAGATTTGTAGTGGTCATTGTTTTATATACCAATGACTTCCATATTTTAAATCAGAAAAACTTTATGTTGCCAGAAACACTTTTTGTAAGTCTTCATTACTTTGATTTTTTTATTTCACTCTTTCCCAATAAGCGGAGTTGCTCTCTGCTAAAGTTGTTCATGGTGTGCAAAGTGAGTATTTGTTCTGTAATACTTCAACGTGCGTTATGTCCATTGTGTCTTAATCCTCATAGAAACATCAGCTGGTGTTGTCTGAAGCAAATGGGAAATTATATAAATACCCAGTAACTAAAATGGTCAGTGTTTTTTAGATATTTTCCTACTTAGTGTCTTCTGATGACTTTGTGCTGTGTCGATTGCATTTCACAAGTGCACGTCTTTGTAGTAATCCACACATTTCATGTCCATTTTTGTTTTTTTTACAGCCAGTTAGAATAAGAAGAATGTTTTCCTCTTGTGCTACTTTATTTAGTGTGTGTTTTAATCTCTGTCCATGTTTGCTAGATGGATCTTATCAAGTATATCATCACCATCCTAACTGATGAAAAGAAGCAGGTAGTAAAATTAGGGTTAGCGTTTCATTCTACGCTGAAGCCGTTTGTCATAACTAGCTTTTACTCTAGGGTTACAGACAGAAGTTAGCAGCTAACCAGGCAGTATTGAAAAACATTAGCAGTATATTAACAAAGACCAGTACAGTTAATTCTATTTTTTTCTATAGTTTCACCATGGGTTTGGAACTATATGAAAAATATCCCCACCAAGTGCTTTTAAGTGTAGCAGCTACTCTTTGGAGAGCTGTGAAACTTGTAAGAATCGCCATATAACGTACTGACCCAGATCATGTCTTGGAGGGGAGGGACCTATTATTTCTTTAAACACATGGAGAAGAGCAGTTGATACATCCATTAGACCAATAGGTTGGAAATGTCTAAAATATTGGATTAGTAAAAATACTCTGCCTAAATGAAAAATTAGGGATCAATTGAAAAAAAAAAAGCCAATTTTAGCATGAATAACTGTACTGCAACTTTGGAGATTAATCCCAGTGTTTATCTGCTGACAGCACTTGGTACCATGGGCTGTTTAGTATGGTATTTCTTTCCAAATCAGTTCTTAATAAAGGGTTTGCCTTCTCTGAATAATTTGGAACCCACATAATCATTTTTTGCTTTGATAGCTAAAGAATTAGGGACAGAAGGGATATCCAGTTAAGTCAAAGGTAAATAAAACATTTTAAGACAAATTGCAACCCTGAATGGATTTGTATTTGGAACTTCTCAAGGAGCTTTCTAGGCTCAAGTAACTAAGTCATCATTCAGAGAAATGATCTAAGCTCAAGATAGTCCTATTTTAATTTCCTGAGATTGGACTGATGTTTAGCACCCTTGATAGAAAAATTATCTGATTTTTAAAATAGGGCAGAATAGGAATTAATCAATTACTAGGTTTCCACTCACTTTCCCTTGTAAAAAAACAGCACAGTAAACTATAAGAAACCTATGTTTGACCAAGTGATTTTCCCAAGAACTTGTATTGTTTTTATTGTATTTGTTCCTGAGGGAAGTCTAGAAAGAAAAAGCAGAGTTTAGGGTTTATTCCTCTTTCCAAATAATTCTTTTCTTCCCATCCCTACACATGGAATTTTCCCCAGAGTGCCTGGAGTTTTCATAATAAAAAATTGAAAAAGCAGCAACATGTCATAAACAGATCTTGACATGAAAGGGTTTGTAACTGCACTAAAAAGGACTTTTCCAGTTTGTTGGTTTTTAATGGTACTGTGTTGTAACGATACTCGCTGATGGACAATCAAATTGTAGAAAAGACAATATCCAAGATTTAGGGACTAATGCACTATACAATCTTTATCCTCTCCCTTCTATCTTGCCCTCTTCAACTTTCCCTGATGTTCTCTCACCAAAATGTGCTTCAGAATTACTGCTTTAAAAAAAATATCCTTACACAAGTGGCTTTACATTGCCTAAAATGCCATAAGAAAATGCAGTATCTGGGTACTGCATGGGGAAAAAAGACGAAGTTTGTATAAAACCAGTACATTTCAGCTTGCAAGTTACTGAACACAATAATGCTGTTTTAGTTTTGTTTTCTTTTGCATCAGTTAAAATTCACAATAATGTAGATAGGACAAATTGCAAACAAGAAAAGAAAACTTGAATGGATTTTACAGAAAGCTTTATGATAATTTTTGAGTGCATTATTTATTTTTTGTGCCATGCATTTTTCTCACCAAATGACCTTACCTGTAATACAGTCTTATTTGTCTGTTTACAACCATGTATTTATTGCAATGTACATACTGTAATGTTAATTGTAAATTATCAGTTCTTATTAAAACATCATCTCCAATGGGATGGTGTTGATATATTTGGAAACTCTTGGTGAGAGAATGAATGGTGTGTATACATACTCCTTGTATATTTTTCTTTTCTCCTGTAATATAGTCTCGTCACATTAGAGCTTGTTTATGGAAGATTCAAGAAAACTATAAAATACATAAAGATATATAAATTTAAATAACAACATAGCTGCAGGTCTTTGGTCCCAGGGCTGTGCCTTAACTTTAACCAATATTTTCTTTTTTGCTGCATTTCAAAATAAAGGTAGAGCTAGGGCTGGGCAGTATTTATCTAAGCTTTCAGTTAATTAAATTTTTGACAATAGCTGGATTTGACAAAACCACAGACCACCTCTGGAGGATTCTGCGACCCTCCTGAGACACAAGTCCTTAACGTACTTCTTGCCGTAGAGCAGCACCTCATTATGGGACAGTGTATCATCCAACTGTTGATCAGGCGCTACACTTCAGTTAACATTCGATTGTTCTTAATTTCAGACACTACTGGGGAAATAATTTTTATCCAGTAATTCTCAAATCACCTTTTTTTTTTGGCTCATAGGAAAATGAACTTGAAAATGAAAATAAACTTGATTTGAAACAGAAGCCATAGGTCACATCTTGATTAGTCATCTGTTCATCAGCTTCCTGTCAGGTTAAAGGACTATACAAGAGGCCATTTTTTTAAAAAACCATAGAATTTTCAACTAAAATTAACCAAATTTCTTTTAAACATCAAGTTATATACAATGTCACTTCACATAGCATAAAGGATTCACTCTCTGAAATAAATTTGTGAAAATTTTCTATTTAGAATTTAACTTTGCACAGTCACTCCTGAAAGTTGTGAATAATTCCTAGTGGATAGTGTAGAAACCTCTTGCTGCTGCTGCCCAGCCCTTAAATGTGTGACTTACTGGTGAAAGGAGAGATTCTTTTTCTAGGAAAAATGAGCCTCCTATTTTATTTTATTTTATTTTATTTTATTTTTTGACACAAACTGTAGATTTTAGCAGCCCTGGCCCAAAGGAATTTGATTACTTTTGTTTTAAATAGTACGAACGGGACACTATAACTACAAAATATATCCTTACTGATTTGTTATTTTTAAATTTTATTTGGATATGTTTCAGAGTGGTAAATTGTGTGTGAGCATTACAAATGATTCTTTTAGTGGTTTCTTAGCCTCTCTTACAGCCCATGGGGATAGTACTGTACATCAATCAATACCTTCATATGAAATTTTTATATGCAATGAAAATAAAAGCATGGGTTGATTCTGCCTATTTATGACTTGGTCTTTTACAAATAAAAAAAATTCTTGATTTTAAATTGAAATTTAATCAGCACACATTTTCAATAGTAGTTAAAATGGTTGAAATGAGGTAACATAAGTCACTGTTCATATTTGTAACCAATGAAACCAAATTATGTTGACTGATTTTGTATGTAAAGTTTCCCCAAATTACATATATGGCCTATAAGATGAAGCAGTGTTTTCTAAATAGGTACACAGGAACCTTCCATGCTTAATTTTGCTACACCAGAGTATTCAGTTACCATTCAGACATTCAACAGTCACGTGCCAGGTACGTACTACATAAACTACAAGCTTTGAAGGATTCAGCAGTACACAAAATAGACTGCTGTAGTGGAGCGTATAGTCTGTAGGGCACAAAGGCATTAAACTATCCAATTCACATGTCATTATTACTGTGCTCAATACAGTAAAGAAGTTCAGTGCTGTGGTTAAGAAGGAACCTGAACGTGGCTTGTCCAGGGCCAGACAAGTCTTTCTGGAGGAAGTTCTATGGGGCAGAGATCTGAAGGACAGCAAGAAGTAATTGGGGGACAGGGAGTAAAGAGGCAGAGACCAAGGGTGCCCAGACAGGAAACATTTGTAAAATCCTAAGGGCCAAATGATCTTGAGACTTCCTAGAGAATTTTGGGGGTGCAAAGAGAGTTGGCAGGTTACAGGGAGATGTGGGGCTGCAGGGGACCCTTGAGTTACGACTGGCCTCACATATGAACAACTTAGGACCTAGCTCTTGAGTTAATGACCCAAAAGCTGGTCTTTCCTGTATGAGGTTAACAGAGATTCTGGACCAATATCTCTATGGATGCTGAGATCTGCCTGAAGAAAGTATGGCCTAAAATTATATAGGAGAGAGACTTTGAAGGCTGTATAGAGAGCCTTAGCTTTCAATTGACCCTGTGGTTGACATTCTAACCATAGCAGAGTCCATAGGCTTGCAGGTAGACAGTGGTGATGTTGAGTAACTGGTGAGAGAACACTCAGGAACTGCCTACAGAGGAACCTCAGCAACTTCTGGCTGAGCAACAGAGAATGGCAGCTGGGGATCTTTCTGAAGAGGAGGGGGAGGGTGTCAACAATCAGTGCAGCAAAGTTCTTATGAGGTAAAGGAGATCCTGACAATATCGACAGAGCTACAAACATTTGTAAAGACCTACCCAGGCAGCAAAAAGTCAATTATATTCACTTGCTTAATGACAATGTCATGTCATACTACAAAACTGTTAAAACAGACAACCTTAGACCAGCTTTTCATTCTGAAAAGGTCGAGTCCTAGTGAGCCAGGAGCAGATCATAGTGGGCTACACACTATCTCAAGGAGAGAAAGGACTCTCCACCTTCCATTTCATCCTCCCTTCAGGCAAGTCAAACACGTCAACTTGAATGGTGAGTACAGTATGAAATTATTTCCGGTGAACTAGGCACATTTTGTTACTTTTTTGGTGAATACACTAGGAAAATTATTGGTGTCGCTGGTAAATTATGCACATTATACAACACTTACTATGGAAAGTTTAGTTAAGGTGTGCTTTAGGTTTGGAACACATGGGTATTTCCATAGCTTCTTATGGGAAAAATAGTCTTGACTTTCAGACAACTTGATTTACAACCAGCCCTCAGGAATGAATTGAGTTTGAAAGTTGAGTCCCCTGTATTTCTAACCATCCTGACACCCCTGCTCCTGTGCCATCACTTTATCTCCATAACCCCACTCATTCACTTATAACACCACAATGGATAGACACATCTGTTTATTGTCTCTCCCATCAGAACATACTTCCATTAAGACTAAGGTCATACCATACCAGTGTACTGTAGCTTTTAAAACTATACCTGAGATAGAGACCAGTGTACTGTAGCTTTTAAAACTATACCTGAGATAGAGAGTCCTTAATGTGTGTTCAGTGTAGCTACCAAATTGATAATGGGTTACAGTCACCCCAAAGTACCCATGGGGGACTGG